TTTTGCTTTAGGCAGAGGGAGACTTGAGTGGAGGAGGAGGCAGGGGCGGAGAGACCAGGCAAGGGGGGTCACTGGTTGGGAACAATGCTGGAAAGGTGCGTGGGATCGTGTCCAGTGGGGAGGGGTGAGGAGGAAGCAAGAAGGCCAGGTGAGTCAGGTGGCCGGCAGGCGGCTCTGGGTTTTCTCCAGGAAACTGAAGGTCGGTGACATTGATCAAGTGACTTGCTCTGAACCAGGAAGGACAGAGCCTGTGCTTGGGTCCCACTGGTCTTCCCATGCCCTTCTCAGGAACCTGAAGCCGGATCCCTTTGATGGGCCAAGGGCTCTGGGGGGGGCCTGGCTTCCTGCTGGGCCCGTGGGTGGTATCCGGTTCTGTTCCTCTCAGTATAGGGAGTGCCCTCGGAGCACTTCCTGTGAGCGAGGCAGCTGGTGCCAGGGCAGCGTGGGGGCTTATTTCTTCACCCCGTGCTCCAGTTCTGCCTCTTGGCGAGTTCTGTGGCCGTGCTCCGCAGCCTGGCTTCAGCCAGGGACGCCGTGGCTCTTAGCATGGCAGCAGGAGAGCACACGGCCTTCCTGCCCTGGGGTCCGCTTTACCCAGTGGGTTGGGTGGGCCGGTCTCCTCGGCAGCTGTTGGCAGGTAGAGGTTGGGGCACCTTGATCCACCCATGAGTGGATCAGACTCCTGCTCTCCTGCCCAGGCCCTTCTATGACTTTCCTCCTGTCCTTTGGTTCCCAGGGGCTGGCAGTCATGTGGGACAGCTGCTGGGTGAAGGCTAGTCATTGTCCTGAGGCGGCAGCCAGCCCAAGAAGCCCGTGCTCCAGGAATGTCTCGGGGCTCAGTGAGCCTCTTGGCTTGGCCCAGCAAGGGGAGGGGGTTGGCTAATGAAGTCTCCGAGGGGGTCTCTTGGAGCAGGGCTCCAGGACTAGCCAGCCTGCTCAGCCCGAGACCAGCACAGTTTAGGGGGGAAGGGTACAGCTTTCCCAGGGAGGAGACCAAAGAAGGCCAGTTGTCTTGTGGCTCAGAACCTGTCACCTCTGACCCCCAAAGTTCTCCTCCGTGGAGGCAGGGCCTGTGGTGTGGCCAAGGCCTTGACTTTCAGTGACTGGGGAACATACTCCATCTCAGTTGCCTGTTAGAATCACAGGAAAGGTGAAGTTTTTTTGTTTGGTTTCCTACTTGCCGATGCCTGGGCCCCGCCCCCAACCAATTAAATAAGACTCTTGGAGAGCGGGGCCTGGACACCTGTCATACTTCAGTGTCTCCGGAATTGCCTTGTGCAACCAGTGCTGCGACCTCCTGATAAAGGGAGATAAGTGCGATGGCCTGGACCGTGATGAGAAAGGAAGACTGGGAGGGCGGGGGCGGTGTGGTGGGCGGGAGAGGGTGCAGCCCCTCATGGAATGAGATGTGAGAGCTGGGAAGGACCTGGTTTAGAGCTTTGCAGCTCAAAGTGTGGTCTCAGCCTAGCAGCAGGGAGCCCCAGGAGCTGGTGAGAATGCAGACCCACCACACCCACTGAGTCAGGATGTGCACATCAGAGTTTAAGAAGCCTGCTTTCGCCATTATCCGGACCAGCGGTTCTCAGCCTTGGCTGGGTTAGTATCGCCTAGGGTGCAAGAAAAAATTCCAGCGCGGGGCCAGACCAGTGAAGTCAGAATCCCCAGGCCTGGGACCCAGATCCTGCCATTTTCTTGTTCAGCCGAGGTCAAGAGGAGTGCTTCTCAAACCTGAATGTGCATGTGAATCATCGAGGGGGTCTTATTCAAATGCAGGTTCTGATTTGTGCATTCGTACGTTTCTAACATGATCCCTAGTGAGGCCCAGGCTGTTGATCTGATAATTGTATTTGAGTTGCAAGCATTTCTTAGACCAACTTTGCAGTTTTACAGACCAAAAAACTGAAGGTCAGAGAGGGAAAAATGAACCCCCCCCAAGATAACCCATTGTGTTATTCATTCAATAATTGATGAGCTCTGGCGGGGTGTCAGGCAACATGCTGGGACTGGAGCTGGGAATCAGACAGACCCCCTTCCTGCCCTCACAGGGCTTGTAGTTAGTGGGGGAGACAGAAAGCAAGTGAGCAAGTAACTAAACTAATTACAGATGAGAAGTGCTGTGGAGGGGATAACAAGGTAGGGATGACTTGACGGTTGCCATGGGTAGGTCGGGGAAGCAGACCACCCTCGGAAAAGCAACCAGGGAAGTTACTAGAACCTTGGCTTTCACTGGGGTCTTCTGATTACAAATCTAAGACTTTTCTTTACTGGGCAGGGCCGTCCCCATCCCCACTGGTGTTCCCGACCCTACTGAGCACATCTGACTCTGGTCCCCGCCCTGCCCCACCTGGGTTACTCTTCCCCTCAAGACTCTCATCCTTGGGTGTTTGTGGACTCAGTGTGCAGCCTGGGGGGATACCCTTGGGAGCAAAGCATCAACTCCATAATAGGACCGTGTTCAGGATAATCGATTTATAGTTTGTAACAAAAACCAGACCTCATCCAGAGGCGGTCCCCCCAACCCTTGAGAAATAAATTTGAGATCTTTTCACTGATCCTCAAGAGAACACATTCATGCTTCCCTCCCTTTCCTGATCCATCAAGAGAATCACATGGGCTGCTTGTGAAAATGCCCACCCCAAGTCCCACCCCAGTGCTGAAGCAATCTCAGAGAAGGGCTCTGGAATCTGTGTTTTCAATAAGTGGCCCATGTGATGCGTACCACCCAGATCACTGGGGAGCATGGCCTGGATAGAAGAAACTGGCTCTGTGTGTCCTGTGCCTCTTCATGTGGCTGTGGAAACTGCAGAAATCTCTTCCTTGTTGACTCAGAAGCTTGGCCCTTGGCTGGGTTTGTGACTGGAGGGACCTCTCTGTTTATCTGTGTGTAGCAACTCACTTCCTCCACAGCCCCATCCTTACCTGAAAGGGTCTCCTGTCTCCTCTTTGACTAAACAGACCCTTCCCACTCCCCAAGCTCCCATACAGAGAGCCTGCCTACCCTGATTCCCCCATGCACCTGGGTGATGAGGGCGTGGGTACTTTGCATTCAGCCAGAGTCTAGGAGGGCTGGAGGGGGCCTCATGGACCATCTGGTGGCCCCACCCTCACCCCAGTGTCTGGGCGGAGTGGTGGGAGATTGATGATGGAGAGGGAGCAGCCAGAAGCAGGGGAATGCCTTGGACAGTGAGGAATCGATAAGCTTAACTTCGGTTGTGTAGATCTGAATCATGCCCTTGCACAGTTAACTTAACTTTCCTGTAGAAAATGGGCGGAGGCACAGCTGCCTGCCGGAGCTGGCCCTTCCTCGGTCAAAATGAGGGAGAGGACAGTGAGGGGAACCGGGCCAGGGAAAAGCTAGAGTAGGCCAGCCTGGCCTGGGACCAAATCCGTGAGGGGTGGGACTTGGTTTCCCTTTCTTTCTGGGGCGCAGGACGCCCCCCTGGATCCCTGATGCTGCCTCTGAGGGGTTAAGGCGACGTCCAGGGTGAAGGGGCCTGCTCTCTGGGTGGCCACCCCAGAAGCAGCTTTGTGATTTCTGGAGGCGGGAAGAGGCAGGCTGTGGGTGTGCCCTGCTCCAGTGGCTAAGCGAGGGTGTTGGAGCTGACCAGACACCTGTGACTCTTACCTCCTAGGTGGCTCGAGGCAGCCGGGATGACAGCTCTCCCCAGGAACCCTGCTGCCTGAGAAACATGGTCAGCAAGTCCCGTGAGTGTTCTCTGGGGGCTCTCCCACCCTGAATGATGGGCTCCGCCGAAGTAGTCTTCAGCATCATCCTGGGACCGCCCTGGGGTTGTGGCGGGACAGACACGGACCCAGGGGCCTCTCTCTTTATCTCAAAGGACAGTGGAAACACTCAGGTCCAAGCCCCATGCCAGAAAGCTCAGGGCCTGCTTGAGCTGGGGTTGCAGGAGCCCCAAATGGGCAGACGAGAAGATGGACTGGGGCTGTCCCTGCCTGTTTCTGCCTCCAGCTCCTCTGTGCATGTGCCCTGCAGGCTGGAAGCTCCTGGCCATGCTGGCTCTGGTCCTGGCTGTCATGGTGTGGTATTCCATCTCCCGGGAAGACAGGTACATTGAGCTGTGAGTCCATATTCCGTGACCTTCCGTGGGTTCTTCTTGGGAACGGGGTTGGAAGCTGGAGCATCAGGAGGTGGGCACCTAGTGGGGCAGGAGGGTTCAGAGAGCCAGGGCGTGACCGCTCTGGTACATGCCAGCATGAAATCCTTCTGTGAGGGTGGGTGGTGGGTCTGGAGGGTAGGGTAGGGATGACTCCCCAGGTCCCTCACCCAGGGCGTTCAGGAGAAGGAAGAGCTGGATTCACAATGATTTGGTGTCAGACTGGCTGACACGGTTCCACCCTGCGAGTTGCTCTCCAGCACCTTGGGACCTGTGTGCCCTGGGAGGAGGTGGGGGCCACCTGGGCTGATGCTGGCCTCTTAGCCCTGGAGGTCTGACTGGAGCTCCTGCCTCCTCTCCTTTTCTGTCTCCAGTTTTTATTTTCCCATCCCAGAGAAGAAAGAGCCATGCCTCCAGGGTGAGGCGGAGAGGAAGGCCTCTAAGCTCTTCGGCAAGTAAGTGTGTGAGTACGGGGTGGGGGTGCTGAGTGCTGCGGGCACAGGTCAGATGAAGGCAGAGAGGGAAGCAGAGGCCTTGGCTGTGTGTACATGTTATTAGTGGTCTGACCCTGTTGCTGGCATCAGGATTAATCCCTTCCTCACCCTGCTTTCACCTTGTGCAGCTACTCCCGAGAACAGCCCATCTTCCTGCAGCTTAAGGATTATTTCTGGGTCAAGACACCATCTGCCTATGAGCTGCCCTTTGGGACCAAGGGGAGTGGTAAGTGCCCACCTGGTGGGGTGGGAACAGTGGGCTCACCTCGCCACACTGCTTCCCGTTCTTTGCTGCCCATGGTCCCAGTGCCCACGCTCTTAGCCAGGCTCAGATACTGAGGTCAGGGGAGGGAGAGTTGGCAGCCTTTGGAGAGCTAGCTGTTGTCATCAGCCCCTTCCAACCCGGCTCTTTTTGTAGAAGACCTGCTTCTCCGGGTTCTAGCCATCACCAGCTACTCCATTCCGGAGAGCATCCAGAGGTAAGGAGACACTCCTTCCTGCCCTGGTGTGAAAGGCTCATGGTTCAGCACCTCCCAGTGAGCCTGCCTGTCTCCGGGGGAGGTGGATATGCCAGTCCCCATGGCAACTGAGCCTGAGCATCCGGCTGCCAGAGTGGCAGAGGTGGCGGAGGGCATCGACGTGGTAACAGGCAGGCCTGGGCAGCAGGCAGTGGGGGGTGGGGCTCCGAAATGGGGTTTCTGCTTGGTACTTCCCAAATACCTCCCTCTGTCCCTGCTCTCTCTGCCATGTTCTGCTCAGTTTCCTCCCCTTTGAAAGCCTGGGGCTGCAGAGTCAGCAAGACCACAAGCAGGACTCCTCAGAGATGCCTGGGGAGCAGGGGCTGCAGGGGCCTGGGAAGGAAAGTTGGGCGGAGCAGGAGCAGGGGCTGCTTCTGCCCTGACCACCCTCTCCCCGTGGCAGCCTCAAGTGTCGCCGCTGCGTGGTGGTGGGCAACGGACATCGGCTGCGGAACAGCTCGCTGGGCGAAGCCATCAACAAATATGACGTGGTCATCAGGTCCGTGTGGCCGCCCTCCCCTCCTCTGTGTGGGCTGGTGGTGAGCAGGCCCAGCGGGGCTCCAGGTGACAGGCGTCCTCCCCCCACCTCCCAGGTTAAACAACGCCCCCGTGGCCGGCTACGAGGGTGACGTGGGCTCTAAGACCACCATGCGCCTCTTCTACCCTGAATCCGCCCACTTCAACCCCAAAGTGGAGAACAACCCGGACACACTCCTCGTCCTGGTAGCTTTCAAGGCCATGGACTTCCACTGGATTGAGACCATCCTGAGTGATAAGAAGCGGGTATGTGGGGAGACTGGGAGGGGAGAGGTCGAGGCCTGGTGATGGGGACACTGCCTGGGTCAGGACCTCCCACACCAGAATGTGTGCCCTGCAGTTCCTGAGAACCGGGGACGGGGAGGCGTGAGCTCAGTGCTCTGCGGGGCTTCTGACGGGCCGCCCGCAGCCTGGGCCTGAGGGCCTGCAGGAGTCAGGCAGCAGCAGCCCAGGGCATGCCCAGCTTGAGGCTGCCTGGGACGGAAAAGCTGCCAAAATATGTTTGCCAGTGAGAAGCTTGGGAGCAAAGGGACCAGTCCGTAGTCACCTCCAGGTGGGGGCAGGTTGAAACAGTCGAGATCTGTGTCCTTCTAGGAGGACCCCAGAAAATCCACTCTGTCTCTTTGCCATCTGGTTGGATGCCGAACTGTCCGACCTGGCGTTTTTTGCCAAGTGTTGAGCTAGCGCCTTCTACTTGTGCAGATATCCTTGGAAGTGGGCAGTGGTTGGACCCAAACTCTTCACACGTGCCACCTGGTCTCCCCTCGGGGCTGCTCTCTCTCCCCACTCCTCTCCTCTTGCCTCCCCCTCCTCCCCTCACCTGGCACCCTTGAGGGCCTCTGCCCTCGCATGGAGCACAGCCCCTGGCCGAGGACCACCTGGCTGGCCCCCACCCACTCCTGTCTCTCCCTTCCAACCCTGCCCTGCTAGGTGCGGAAGGGCTTCTGGAAACAGCCTCCCCTCATCTGGGACGTCAACCCCAAACAGATTCGGATTCTCAATCCCTTCTTTATGGAGATTGCAGCTGACAAACTGCTGAGCCTACCAATGCAACAGCCTCGCAAGATTAAGCAGGTGATGATGGGCTGAGGACCCAGCAGCTGGGGTTGGACATCTGACGTTCTGGGTGGAAAGTAGGTGGGGCTTCCTAGAGGCTTAGGAAGGCATGGAGGACCCCAGGAGAGGGGAGAATTATAGCAGAGATCGCAGCTGGCATTTGAATAACACCTGTTGAAGTTCCCTGACCTCAGGCACACACCTGTAATCAGAGTCAGGTATACCGGCTTGTGCAGCTGGGAAGAGCGCACACTTCTGAGATGCCCCAGGCCTTCTCCAAAGCGAGGAGTCAGGGAAGGGTATTTCTAGGGCTTAGGAGGCTGGTGTTAGAGGATGGTTTTGGCAGGTGCTGATCAAAATTTATAAACAGAATTCATAAATAGGATATGCTGGGACAGTCAGTGGTCTTTTTTTAAATTTACTTTTCTCATTTTTCAGTTTTATTAGGTAGAACTGTTACAGTTTGCACATACACAATATATTGCATGTAAATACATAACATACAATATCCTGTTCATATTTTTAAAAATTTACATGTAAGTACTGTTCATTGTTTTTAAGAACGTTTAGAGCTTTAGCTTTTTAAACTTACATAGTTATCAAAAGAATAAAGCCAACAACAAAAGAAGAATTAATTCAAAAAGATACGTATACCCTGCTATTAATAGCAGCATTATTTATAATTGCCAAGATATGGAAGCATCCTTAGTGCACATCAATAGACGAGTGGATAAAGAAGAGGCAGCGTATGTATGTAATGGAATGCAACTCACCCGTAAGAAAGAAGGCTATTTTGCTATTTGTGGCCCTTCATTCACATTTTTTTTTTCTGGGATTTGCTGGGACAGTCAGTAGTCTTATCTTTAAAACATGGAGTGCAGCCTAAGCCCTGCAGTCAATTTTTTTAATCACTTTTTCTGCGATCTTATCGTGGAACATATTGGTCTAAAGGAGTTAAAAGGATTTGAGGTAGCAGTTGGTCCTGCAGATCCAGGCTGGGTAGGTGTGGCAGTTTTGGGAGTCA